CATCAGGCAAGTTTTCTGATTTCTTTCAAATTCTGGATCACAGTAATCCAATAGACAGGACCTTAGCCTTCACTTCATGAAGCAGGAAGTTCCAATTCCTCCAGGCTAGATGATGTGCACATGTTGCATTCATATTTCACATTTTGTCAGTGGTTATATATATTGCACTTGCATTTTTGTATTAGGATTAAGGTGTTAGTGGATTGTGTTTCATTTTTAAAACTATGAAACCATATTCCCTTCACAGCAAAGGTTATGAACACCATTTAGGATGCTGTTTTCCAGTTGGAGGAAGTTATTTTTGTACTAGAGCATCTCAGAGTCTTGTTTCATACTTATTGTTGTATCTGTCAAAAAAAATCTAGATGAATGTGCTATAGTCTTAACAACCTGCTTCATATGGTTGTTCTTTGTGCTATTGGGTGTGATGATGTGTTAGATATATGCTTTATGAGAGAGACTTGCCGAGTTGCCGTTATTAAAAATAAAAAAGAGTACTTTAAAGTATTCATGTTTTTACTGTACCCCCGAACCAGGTATTAAACAGAATTCTTTAAAAGACCCATGCTTTTGATTTTTGTTTTCCATTTTACTTTCAACCTTGGGGATTTGCAATGACTAGGTATTTAATACTCCTAGGTCTGTCAACGGGTTGGATAAGTGGGAACTATGTATTTCAGATTCATACCTGTTGATTAATATTTTGTCCAGACCCGGACCATTTACTCTTCATGTCCAATATGGGCTGGAACTTAAAAAATTATATCCAACCCATTTTTCTCTCTCATGTAACGGGTTCGAATCCGGATCCGGTAAACGGTTCTAAATTTAGACCTGTCCCCTCAAACCCTCACATAAAGTGCCAGATTCGGATCAGTTCCGGGTCTAAATACTCATTGACAGGTCTAAATGCTCCGTATGTGATATTACTGAAACCTTAGGCTCTAATGTAAATTGTAATAAGGCTGCAAGATGAATTTGCTATGAGTGTGGTGCTGGTAGCCAGTCTACCCCTGCCCTTAATGATTGAAAAGCTTTGCAAGACCCAAAGAAGAGTTTTTTTTTTCAAATTGTAAGCACTTGTTCTGTAGTTGAAAAAAGCTATGATTGGTCTGAAACAATCTATACCTAGAAAAGCTAGGTATAGATTCCATTTGCAAGGACATCCCATGGCTTCTGCAGCTGTGATAATCTAACTGCTGAAGTATTAGACATGGCTGGAAGTTCCAGGTTTGGCCTTCGGGCGCTTCTGGACTGTGGTTGGACTCCACTGCAATGTGGTCAGACTGTGGTTGGACTCCACTGCAATGTGGTCAGAATCTGCCGTGGTGGATATGCCAGTCGCTTAGTCATTTAAAACATCACTTCATCAGCCACGTTTTGTTTAAAAGATGCGTTTTTTTACATCAAAATATGAACACTTAAAAGTTAAAACTATGAACACTTTCCTAAATTTGGTTTGTGTTAATTTTTTTTGCATCCTTACTTGATTTTACTTATTCTACTCTTTTTTGTGGGTCAATGCCACTTTTCTTTTGGGGTTATGAATGTAAAATAACAATTTATGATACGTAACAAAATATGCCAATATTTTCCACTACGCCATACAAAATATGTCAATATTCTGCTCTTTTTTGTGGGTCAATGCTAGTCATTCAATGTATTATTTACCTTCCTTCAAAGTTGGCTTACCTTTTTTGTTTTCCTTCCATACGTTGCCCATGCATGGGCATATATATAGAGGTGATCGGCTGTACTTCAAGATACACATACAGAATAATATTATGTTCATCCTTTCTATTACTCTCGCTATTTTATTCCTTTTATTTATCAATTTACTCCTTGATTTTGCTAACCTTTTGGTTCAAAGGAGTGATTTTTTTTTTCAAGCAAAACTATGTACCGATCTTGGTGGCTAACAACTAACAAGCAAGGTTATCTAAAATATGTGTTTTGAATGGGGAAAAGGTGCAAATAGGCCCATGTACTAACAAAAAAAAGGTCAAATAAGCCCTTATTTAGGAGGCTATGTCCGGTCTTCGCCATTTGGGGTGCTTACTGGTGGAATTTTTTGATGAAATTTTTTGAGCATCTTATTCATTAAGTCTAGTTTACTTATACCAAATTTCAACTAAAACTTCAATCGGGAAGACATTCAAATGAATTCTAGAAAATAACTGCGCAGTTAGAAGCGCAGTTATCTTCAAGAATTCATTTGAATGCCTTCCCGATTGAAGTTTTAGCTGAAATTTGGTATGAGTAAACTAGACTTGATGAATAAGATGCTCAAAAAATTTCATCAAAAAATTCCACCGGGAACCACCCCAAATTACGACGGCCAGACAGAGCCTCCTAAATAAGGACTTATTTGACCTTTTTTTTTTGTTAGTACATGGGCCTATTTGCACCTTTTCCCGTTTTGAATGGTTGAATGACTTGAATCGCACAATTTTACTATTCTAAATCACAGAAAAAATCAAATCGTTTGGACTCCTTCAAAACCATTTCACGCTTTCTAATAGACATATTCGTTATATGAATGGGTTGAACTGTGGTTGACCATTCGTACTGTACGGCGGGTTGTTGACGTGTCCGGTAGGTCCGGGGTGTGACAGGAGAGGCGGTATTACATGGGAAACCAAGAAGAGCATTTTATGCTACACATTCCTGTGTGAGAAAGATGCACATAAGTAAAATGGGACGGAGTGAGTATTAGAATTTTCTTTTGTTAGATTTTATAATTAATTCTTGTTCATTTCTTTAATAAAATTTTACAATTCGATCCACCAATGTGATTTTTAAATCCCTATAATGATTCGATTCAAAATAAGATTTGAACAACCACACTCACAAGTCACAAGTTACGACACGTGCATGCAATCCATTTGGAATCATTTCTTTATCTAGAAAAGTTTTTATGATATTCCCTCCCTTCCATTGTGTAAGATACACTTTTCATGAGTTGTTCCAATCACTTTCTTAAACTGAATTTCACTAACTATTTACTTTCTACTTTATCTTTTTATCTATCACTCCACCCTTTACTTCTTGTGATCCATCTTATTCTTTTGGCTAAAGGGTCAAATAGGTACATGAGCTAACTTAAAGTGTTCAATTAGTCCCTTATATAGGAGGTTCTGCCCTGACGTCGCCAATTGGGGCGCTTCCCGGTGGAATTTTTTGATGAATTTTTTTGAGCATCTTCTTCATTAAGTCTAGTTTACTCATATCATATTTGAGCTAAAAATTCAACCGGGAAGGCAGTCAAATGATTTTTAGAAGATAACTGCGCAGTTAAACAACGCAGTACATTTCGGAAAATCATTTGATTGCCTTTCCGATTTAATTTTTAGCTGAAATTTGATATGGATAAACTAGACTTAATGAAAAATATGCTCAAAAAATTTCAACAAAAAATTCAACCGGTAACCGCCCCAATTGGCGACGGCCGGGCAGAACCTCCTATATAAGGGGCTAATTGAACACTTTAAATTAGTTCATGTACTTATTTGACCCTTTAGCCTATTCTTTTTTACTTTTTGGAGGTTAAAATCCACACCAAACTTAAATGCATCTTATATTGGGCAGAAGTAGTCATGGACCTGGTTCGGGCCGCCCGGCCCGGTTCTCGGGTCCGGGTCCGGGTTGGGCCTAGGCCCGGTGGGGGGCTGGTCCGGGCTCGGGCCTTGTATTTGGCGAACTGGCCGGGTCGGGCCCGGGTCCGGGCCTAATTGATTTTTTTTTTTTTTTCATTTTTTGGGATACACCCGGGTTGGGCTTGATGGTTAGGACTTAGGAGGGGTTTGGGGGTTTTCGAGGGGTGAGGGGGGGGGATTAGGAAAGCAAAAAAATAAATAAATAAATAAATAACCAAACCGGAGGCCCGGACCGGACCCGGTGGCTACCCGGGCCGGTCCCGGGCCTTCCTTCCCAAAAAAAACCCGGCCGGGCCCGGCCCGGTCCGGGTCCATGACTAGGCAGAAGTCGTATGATTTTATTCTACGTATTCACCCAACCAGTGTTGCAAATCAAGTCACAATTATCTTAACCAAGCCTCTTGGTTCATCTTTACTTTATGAAGTGTTATCTCAAACATAAATTCATTAGTCATCCAGATGACCATATCTCGTGTTATATTGTGAACTAGTCCCTATTATACTACTACGTATTATGTATTTAGCTAGTGTATGTAGTACAAAAATGTGGAATATAAATCAAATGAGAATGAAATCTGATTAGAGGAATGAGAATGAACGGTACGCGCTATGAATCCGAAAATGCAATGACATTTCGGTAAATAAGTTTAAAAATTTTGTTAAATCGAATTGTACATCACCTTAACCAAAATGTACACTACAAAATGAATCCACAATGATTTAGAATGTTCACTATTTTCAAATTTTCAAATATGGGTTTGATCGGATCGGCCGAATATTGGTATGTATTACTCCATGACTATGTTTTAATCCTAGGTCTATTTCCCATGTTTTATCTTATAAAATAATCAAATAGCTTGGATTGGATGTGGTAACATCCTATTTTAGGAGGAACGTGACTAGTCGGATTTTGAAATAGGTCCACCCCGGGGACGTATAGAAGCGTCACAAACGTGGGCGTTCCATGTCTGATTTGAGCCCAACTGGTAGTTACGTTTTATGATGTTTTGAGTTGACTTTGACTCAGCCAACAAACAGTAAGATCAGTTTGGTAAAACAAATCACATTATTCAACAAACACACGAACCACACGTCCTAATAAATGCAATGTGAAAGTCAACAATTATACAAAATCCACCCTGTATTTTCATATCATAATCCTGTATTACAATATAATAATACTAATAATTTTCATAAAAAAATCAATAAATACGATTTATACGCAAGTAGAGAGATATGTACGTATGGATAGATAGCCTCATTTTGACTTTGTCCGTGGTCAACGGTTGCATGCAGATTTGGTCGTATAGAATTTGCACTATAAATATATGCTTCCATTACACATTCCAAACGTACACTTGACATTTCCTCAATACTCAACACCAAAGAACAAATCTTAGTTCATTTTCTTTTTTAAAAATGGCAAAATTAGGATTTCTTGCTCTTCTAATTTTCATCATATCCCTTCATCAAATGTCAATGAGCACTTTAGCCCAAAACTGTGGATGTGCGCAGGGACTGTGCTGTAGCCAGTGGGGGTACTGCGGCAGCACCGACGATTATTGCGGCACGGGGTGCAAGGGAGGCCCGTGCCACTCCACCGGAGTGGCGGGCGTGGTTACGGATGCGTTTTTCAATGGGATAGCGAATCAGGCTGCTTCGAGCTGTGAGGGGAAGGGGTTCTACACCAGGGCTGCGTTTCTTGAAGCCATCAAGCAGTACCCTCAGTTTGGAACGGTCGGGTCATCAGATGATTCTAAGAGGGAAATTGCTGCCTTTTTTGCCCATGTTACTCATGAAACTGGACGTAAGTTTATAGTTCATTAAATTAATTAATTAATTTAATATATAGAACAATGATTTTCAATGATCTTAATTGTATACTAGTGGTCTTGTTTGGATTAATCTATGTTTAAGTGGATACGGAAAAAACTCTTCAGGTCATGTTTATCATGCCCGATTTGATCTTTTTTCGTGGCACACAAATTAATGTTATTAATAGAAATTTTTAATAATGTATATCCGAAATTTTAAAATAATTACAAAAAAAGTTTGATTTTTTTAATAAATTGCATATATGAAATGAGAATGTACGGTATGGTTATATCCTAGAGCGGATACGGAACGTTTCCGATATACCGATACGATACGATACCGATATGATACCGTAAATTGGGTATCCGTGCGGACCGTGCTAGCAAATATGGTATAATTTAATCTGGATACAAAAATAACCCCTTTGCATGTGAATAGAATAAATATCAAAAGGTTGCAAGTGTGGTAAACGGAGGTCTATGGATATTTTTTTGGGCTCGTTTTACCCAACACTAGCACCATCAGCAGCGGCGGACGCAGGAATTTCCGGTAGCAGGGGCGGTAGTACAAAAATATACATACAAATACATATATATTAAAAATTTCGGGGTGAATATACCTAAAAATTTTTTGGAGGGGCAGCAGCCCCCCTTTGTCACCCCCCTCTGTCCGCCACTGACCATCAGACCTATAAAAACTTAAATAGATCAAATCAGACGATAGACTTAAACAAATTTAATCGGATCAAACCAGACTTGTATAGATTAAACAAAAAACATGTGTGGAATTGGTTTCATACGCTTAATTAACTAAACATACGAAGTACATGTTTATATATGTTTAACATTATTAATTAATTGTCATATACGTAATATATACATGTATATACATGTACCCAAAAAAATATACTATCTTCCGTCTCTTTTTAATTGCAACATGTTGACTTTTTGCACTGTTCACATGATCTACTTTGACTACATTTTACACTATTATTTTATGGAAATTATTTTTTTAATAAAAATATTTTTCAATTCATCTCATTACAAATTTTCAAAATCTGATTTTTAATACGTAGTATGTTTTTATTAATAGAGATTAAGACATACTTACGGTCAAATGTGTGCGTTGGCAAATGTGCAAAGGTTGACTGGTGAAACTATAAAAGAACGGAGGGAGTACGTAGTATATAGTGTATATACTAGTATATATGTTGACTAATTAAGAAATGTGATCCATGCATGCAGACTTGTGCTACATTAACGAGATAAACGGTGCAAGCAGAAACTACTGCGACAACACCAACACACAATACCCATGCGTCCAAGGCAAGGCCTACTACGGCCGTGGCCCCATCCAACTCTCCTGGAACTTCAACTACGGCCCCGCTGGGAGGAGCCTCGGGTTCGACGGCCTCAACAACCCCGACATTGTCGCCACTAATTCCGTCGTCTCCTTCAAGACCGCCTTGTGGTTTTGGATGAACAACTGCCACTCCATCATCACCACCGGCCAGGGTTTCGGCCCCACCATCCGCGCCATCAACGGTAAGCTCGAGTGCGATGGCGCGAACCAGCAGACGGTTACCAAGAGGGTTGGGTACTACACACAGTATTGCCAGCAACTTGGTGTCGACCCCGGGACTAACCTCAGATGCTAGTGGATGGCTGCTGGCTGGTCGATCGGTTAATCAAACTATCAATATGTTATTTTTTAAAAATGGTATAAACACACACATACATGTATTCTATGTTTACTGTAATGTAATAATGTTTTCATATTTGAATTGAAACTTGAAATAAGACATTCTCCAAAGGTCTGGTGAAGTGGTGACCCCATTTTACATTATGGAGTACTTCGTATTATAGAAAAAATTAATCAAAAGACCAAAGTATACATAAAGTTCAAAAATAGGATTAAGTATATTTTGTTTTCTAAATAGGACTTAGTGTATGCTAGAAATGAACGAACAAGTGAGATTTCATTTATCTATTATTCATCCCCTGATTACAAAATGTGAGAATGCATACATATATACACGTTCGAGCAATGCTAAGCTAATATATGAGCCCTTAGCCCAAATGACTATACTACCGTATTTATTTACATGTGTGGGCCCATTAGGGCCTAACACCCCCCCCCCCCCCTCAAGTTGGAGCATGCGGATCAAAAATGCCCAACTTGTCAAGAAGATAATGAAATTGCGTCTTGCCCAGTGCTTTAGTAAAAATATCAGCTAATTGATCTGTGGTAGTGACATGATGAGCAGTAAGCAAACCATCCTGAATAGCGTCACGAACATAATGACAGTCGACTTCAATATGTTTCGTTCGTTCATGAAAGACGGGATTATGAGCAATGTGAAGAGCAGAGCGGCTATCACAAAATAGGGACATGGAATGAGAGTGATCAATGCCGAAATTCAGGAGTAGGCCCTTAAGCCACTTTAGCTCGGCAGTGACAGTCGCCATAGATCGATATTCTGCCTCAGCAGATGAACGAGAGACAGTATTTTGCTTCTTAGTTTTCCACGAGATGGGAGATCCTCCCAGAAAAATCATCCAACCAGTGAGAGAACGCCGAGTAAGTGGGCAGCTGGCCCAATCAGAGTCACACCATCCTGTAAGAGTTGGGTCGCACAAGGAGCGTAAGAGAATACCTTGACCCGGGGTACCCTTGAGATATCAGACACAGCGAAGGGCCGCAAGCCAATGATTCTGTCTAGGAGCCTGCATAAACTGAGATAGAATATGTACGGCATAAGCTAAGTCAGGCCGAGTAAAAGAGAGATAGATCAATCGACCAACAAGGCGTCTGTAGGCCTCGGGATCAGACAAGAGATCGCTCGTGGAGAGAGCTAAAGTATGATTTTGTTCCATAGGGAAATTTAACAGGTTTAGCTCCGAGTAGACCAGCCTCAGATATAATATCCAGCGTGTATTTACGCTGACATAGAAAGAGACCCTCAGGGTTTCGAGCTACCTCAATGCCAAGAAAATATTTGAGTGCCCCCAAATCTTTCATATGAAAACATGAGTGTAAGTATGATTTAAATTGGGAAATGGCCTCAGAGTTATTTCCAGCAATGATTAAATCATCAACATAAATCAAAACATGCAGATGTACAGTCCCTCGGTGTAGAGTAAATAAGGAATAATCGGAGTAAGACCGAGAAAACCCATATTGTGTCAGAGAAGCAGCCAACTTGGCAAACCAGCACCGAGGTGCTTGGCGGAGACCGTATAATGATTTCTTCAGGCAACACACAACGCCTGGCTGAGAGGGATGGAAGCCGGGAGGAGGTTTCATGTAGACCTCCTCGTCCAAGTCACCGTGGAGAAAGGCACGATGATTGCCAAACATAACCATCTTTGCAACAGGAGCAAAGGTCTCAGTGTAATCGACCCCCTCTTGCCGATGATTGCCAAACACAACCAGACGCGCCTTGAGGCGTTCCACGGAGCCATCAGAATGATATTTAATTTTATATACCCATTTGCAACCAAGAGCCTTTTTGCCCAGTGGAAGTGGTTCCATGACCCAGGTATGATTATTTTCAAGGGCCCTAATCTCGTCTTGCATAGCCTGGCGCCACCCAGCATCGGTCATCGCATCACGGAAGGAACGAGGTTCCTGCCCTGCAAGTATAGCTCCAAGAAAACCACGATAATAGGAAGAGAACTTGTCACATTTTAAATAATGAGCTATAGAGTAAGACGTACCTGAGGAACCAACGGAAGCAAGTGACGACGAGGATGGGCTCGGGGTACGAAGATGATGGGTGACAAAATCACGAAGTAGAACGGAGGCCCGCTTGGACCGCATGCCACGACCAAGAGCAGTAGTATCGACCGGACCATGCTCAACATGGTGTTCGGCCGTAGCTGTCGAACTGGGAACCGGGGTAGTAACATTAGTGTCAGTGGGATCTGGATAAAAAATAATAGGTCCCGGACTCACCGTGGCAAGGTCTTCAGAGGGTACGTTGGTGCACGGTGATTCCGAAAATGGAAATTCGTTCTCATGAAACTGAACATCCCGTGACACAAATAATTCGCCGGTGTGCCAGTCATACAATTTCCAACCTTTTTGCCCATGAGGATAACCAACAAAGATGCACTTCCTGCTACGAGGAGAAAATTTATTCCCCCGACTTTTGATGTTATGGGCAAAACAAAGGCACCCAAACACACGAAGATGAGAGAAATCAGGTGTGATACCGGTGAGCACCTCAAAAGGTGTTTTTCCTCCCAGAAGTCCAGATGGCGTACGGTTAATAAGGTGAACTGCAGTCAGTACACATTCTCCCCACAGAGCAACGGGAAGATTTGCCTGAAACATTAAAGCCCGCGCAACTTTCAAAATGTGGCGATGTTTGCGCTCCACTCGTCCATTTTGCTGGGGTGTATAGACACATGATGTGTGAAACAGAATGCCATGAGTATCAAAATGACTTTGCATGCATCGAAATTCTGTCCCATTATCGCTGCGCACAATCTTCACAGGAACTGCATATTGTTTTTCAACCATAGCAAGAAAGGACAAAAAATATTTATGAACTTCCTTTTTATCACGGAGCAAATACACCCAAACAGCTCGCGAATAATCATCAACCAATGTAAGAAAATATATAGCATCACACGTAGATGGGGTCTGATACGGCCCCCACAAATCACAGTGAATCAGTTCAAGAATTCTGTTAGCCTTATTATTACTAAGAGGAAATGAATCGCGAACTTGTTTGGCCTGTGGATATACCTCACAGGTTTCATGCAACTTCTTTTGAGCAGAACTAGAAATAATACTCGGTAATAATTTAAGAACCCGGTCTGAAGGGTGACCCATACGACGATGCCATAAATCAAACTCCGGCAAAGCTGGTGATGCGTGAAGAGCATGCAGTGCGGGTACCCGTCTGAAATAAAATAGCCCATCCCGTCTTTCACCAGCTCCAATCAAGTTCCTCGAGTGCAGATCCTGTATAGCACATAAATTATTAGTAAATGTGACAAGACAAGGATTTTGATCAGTCAACTGAGACACTGATATAAGATGACAGGTGAGCCCTGGTACATATAAAACGCGCTCAAGAACGAGATCTGTGGACAGGGGCGCACGACCCTGTAGCGTGGCAGCAACATTCCTTCCATCAGGAAGACCAACCGGACACGCGTTAATGCGTGTAGGATTAACAAGACAAGTAAAATCACGCGTGACATGATGAGATGCCCCAGTATCAATAATCCAGTCAAGAAAAATATTCTTACCCGACATCCGGTCAGAAGAACAAGTATCAGCATTAATCAAATTCAAAAGGGTTTGAACCTGCTCGCTACTCAAAGTAGCCAAACCATTGGCCCTACTACCTGAGAATCGTCCATCCTCGCCCGCTGCCGGCAGAATCGGAGAGATGGCATGAGTTCGGACTCCCCCTGGACGTCCAACGGCAGCCCCCTTGTTCCCAGGCCGATCATCGGAGCTAAGGTAACGCGGCGAGGTCGGGTCCGTCATTGTTGCCGAGACGATGCACGCTGGTGCAGCCTCGACCTGAACTTCTTTTCCGAGCTGCGCCGCCTCCTGTGGCTCTGATACCATGCTAGAAATGAACGAACAAGTGAGATTTCATTTATCTATTATTCATCCCCTGATTACAAAATGTGAGAATGCATACATATATACACGTTCGAGCAATGCTAAGCTAATATATGAGCCCTTAGCCCAAATGACTATACTACCGTATTTATTTACATGTGTGGGCCCATTAGGGCCTAACAGTGTATCTTATTAAAAGAATAATTTGATAAAAAAATTCTCAAAATAAAAGTGAATGATAAAAGAACGTACAATAATTGTTCAATATATGAAATTTAACAATGACATAACATTACAATCTTATTGGAATACGGATTGCTGAGTATAAAACATATCAATAATGTTGAATCAATTCAAGTCATTGTTTCGACTTTGATTTGACCACTGCGTACTAAATACGGAGTAAACATTGTCATTATTAATAATGTCACGATGTAACTATTCATAAAAACAACTACCGTAGTAAAAATGTCAATTTTCTAACATGTGATGAATATTGCATAAAAAGTATCAGTGTTGACAACTTGACACCATGTCACTACCAATAACACTACATTATTAAAAATGTTACATTGTCAACTCCATTATAAAAATAGTTAGTGGCAGAAATATGACAATTCAACATATATAACACGTGACCATTATTTCATATCAAATCTAAATAGCTTAGAGAAAAATTTATATGTAAAAAAGGTTAAAGCACAACAACATACTGTTTGTCTTACACATTTTCGAAAAATTGAATTTGGTTTTTGACTAATTGAAAATAATATATATTCACGGTCAAAGGTATACGTTTGCAAATACTTATTCAAAGTATAAGAGCCTGTTTACTAACAGAAATATTTTCCAGTTTTCCAGAAAACTGGAAAACTGGAAAACAGAAAACAGGAAACGTGTTTACCAAAGATATTCCTGGAAAACTGGAGAAAGGAAAAAAGAAAAACGCGTTTACCAAATCGTTTTCCAAAACGGAAAAAATGAAACATGTCTCTCTTTTCCTTAATGATTTGGAGAAGTGACTATTACTAGTTTTCCAAATTTGGAAAACGCAGATGCTACAGTGCCTTTGCAATGAATTTGCATACTTACACCTAGTGGTGGGTCCGGTCCCGCTCCGATGTCGATTCCATTCTGATACCTCCATCCTCGTACCTTACCCCTTACCCCTACCCTACCCTACCCACCCAACCCCCACCCCGCGTACCCATTTTTTCCTATAATGACCTTACCCCCACCCCCACCACATGCCCCGACCTCGGCCCCACCCCGATCCACCCTACCCTACCGCCACCCCTTACCACCTCGAACCCACCTCGATCCACCCTACCCTACCGCCACCCCTACCACCCCGACCCACCCTACCCTACTCCCACCCCTCGTATATTACCACTTACCCCTACCTTACTCCTTACCACATGCCCCCTACCCCGCCCCCACCCCCATCCTACCCCCACCCTACCTCTGCCCCACCCAGGTCCAGGGCCCACCCTACTGCCATCCTATCCCAACTCCCTACCCTACCCCTACCTTACCCCAACCCCAAACCCTACCCACTACCCCCACCCTTACCGCCATCCTACCCCCCCACCCCCCTTCCCTACCCCGGTCCCACCCTGGTCCCGACCCACCCTACCGCCATCTTATCCCAACTCCCTACCCTACCCATACCTTACCCCAACCCCAAACCCTACCCACTACCCCCACCCTTATCGTCATCCTACCCCTTCCCTACCCCGGCCCCACCCTGGTCTCGACTCCACCCTACCGCCATCGTATCCCAACTACCTACCCTACCCCTACCTTACCCCAACCCTACCCACTACCCCACCCTTAACCCTAACCATGACCCTAACCCACCCACTACCCCCACCCAACCCCCTACCCCTAGACCTTACCACCCTACCCCGACCATACCCCTTACCCCACTCCCACCCATAACTTCCCTACCCGACCTCTACGAGTAGGTATGGGTGGGTATGAAGGGTTGTGGTGGAGTATGGGTAGAGTGTAAGATCGTGGTAAGGATAGAGGTAGGGGTCAAGGGTGTGGAATTGGAGAACTGTGTGAAAAAATTGATGAACATGTTTTCAAATTTGAAAATGGAAAACTAAAAAATAGAAACAAAAAATTGGAGATAGAAAAACTGAAAAATAAAAACAGAAAATTGGAGAACGAAAAACAAAAGTAGAAAACAGGAAAATATTTCTGTTAGTAAACAGGCCCTAAGTGTTGCAACTAAAAGTGAATAGAGGAAGTAATACTCCGTACATAAGAAAAAACATGAAAAGGGGGGAAACTAAAAGGAAAAAAATTAAAAACCACTTTGATGACTAACGGTAGATGAAGACGGAATTGAAAGAACTTATGCGGCAGCAAGAAAAACTAGAAAGAAATGAGAGAATTCCATAAATAGGCTGTTGTGCCTCGATAATTGTAACACTTGAGATTTAATATAAATGAATTATATTACTACTCATACTAATAGAGGTGCATCTCCTTTTAAGGGAGCTAATCACCCAAGATCTCAAAAGTTAAGCGTGCTTGCACGGGAGTAGTCTTCGGATCGGTGACCCCCCTGGGAAGTTTCTCAGGGCGCGCATGAGTGAGGACAAAGTGCGCGGTAAAGGCTCTTGGTGGTTTGTGGGGACAGTACTAGAGGCCCGGATAGTATATGGAGTAACTACCTCGGGTCCCGCGGGACCGGGGTGTTACAAATGGTATCAGAGCCACCCTGCGACAGTGCGTTGATCCGTTGGATTCCTTGCGGGCACTTAGCAGGGGAAAGATTCTGGGATTGGATTGAGATTTGAGATTGGTTTATGGGCGCAACGAGGACGTTGCGATCCTAAGTGGGAGTGATTGTAACACTTGAGATTTAATATAAACGGTTTAATAGTACTACTCATACTAACAGAGGTACATCTCCTTTTAAGGGAGCTCATCACCAAGATCTCAAAAGTTAAGCGTGTTTGCACAGGAGTAGTCTTGGGATGGGTGACCCCCTGGGAAGTTTCTTAGGGCGCGCATGAGTGAGGACAAAATGCGCGGTAAAGGCTCGTGGTAGTTTGTGGAGACAGTACTAGAGGCCTGAAGTAACCACCTCGGGTCCTGTGGGGCCGGGGTGTTACAATAATGCACATCACAATAATTTGTTGATGTCCAGCAATAGAACCATCGTCACTGTTCGATCAGACTACAGCCTCCAGCCACCGCCCTCCAACGTGATAGCAAACACCGTGATCGTTAGTCGTTACAGTACGACCTCCCCCTCTAGTAAAAGCACAATTTTGGAAACATATGACATGTTAAAATTACAATGACATTTTTGTATAAAACATGTCATTTGCATATGGAAAAGCATGTCATTTTGAAGCAGTCAAAAAATGCCCTACCTGTCTGGATCAGTTTTCCGGTTATAAACTTGAGCACTTTTCATCCCATCCGCATGGACGGAGCCAACAAGGGAGGTGTGGAGTCAATTGACACCACTGAAATCCCCCCCCCCCCCCCCCCCTCCCATAAGTAAGTATAATTTTTTTTTCAAAATTTTAAAATGGACCACTGAAAAATAAAAATTCTTCATATAGGTGTATGTAATGTTTTATAAATTATAATTTGACACCACTCCAAAAGGATGTGGAAAATCTGGTGAACAACAATTACAGCATTCTAAGAGAGCTCGTGTTGAAGTTGATTTAGAAGCGCTTCCGTTAGATCCCAGACAACGAAAAGGAATTTCTAATATAATCCGGATGATCAAGATAAGGTACGAAGGAAATATTTACATAATGACCCATGTCAACCCTGCAACCATACTTTCCCTCAAAAAAACATAGAGAATGTTTTGCGTCAGTTTAACCGAAAGTAGATTGATGATTATGGGAATTTGTTAGAATATAGTATATCGAAAGATGCGGCATATTGCTTACATTGTTATCTTTTTAGACAAGACGTGGGAAAACAAAGTGGTGGTGAGCCATTTATAACGGAGGGTTTTTCTCATTGGAATAAGAAAGAGAGATTTAATATTCATGTAGGACCTCCTAATAGTGCTCATAAAGTCATAATGAAGCTATGAAAAAGGTTGAGTGTTTAATGAATCAAAATCAACACATTCAATCAGTTTTGATTAAACAGACAAATCAAGCTTGAACTAAATATCGTACTAGATTGACTGCTTCCATTGATTGTATTCAGTTCCTCTTGTGTCAAGGGCTAGCATTTCGAGGTTGTGATGAATCAGAAGAGTCAAGTAACCAAGTGAATTTTTTTGAACTCTTAACTTTTCTACCAAATCATAATGAAGATATTCATAATGTTGTTTTGAATAATGCTCCCAAAAAATTGAAGATGACTGTTCTTGATATTCAAAATGACATTATAATGAGTTTCTGAAATATACTGTGCTCTTTAACTGCGTAGTTATCTTCAAAAATTCATTTGTCTGCCTTCCTGATTGAATTTTAAGCTGAAATTTGGTATGGGTAAACTAGACTTAATAAAGAAGATGCTGAAAAAAATTCATCAAAAAATTCCACTTGGAACCGCCCCAAATGGGGACGGCCGGACAGAGCCTCCTATATAAGAGGTGATTTGCACTTTTTAAGTTAGTTCAAGGGCTGATTTGCTACTTTTTCCAAGAAAAAATTGTACATCGTTTCCAAAATAAGGAAAAAATTGTACATCATTTCCATAATGGACAGTTGTGCATTAGTACTTTAATTTATTAATGATAATATTTGTTTTTTTTTTTGCTTTATATGTGTATATAGACTATTATATAATACAGTAGTATTCTGCTTAAAAAAAATAGTACTTTGTTAAATTGACACTACTGACATCGGTTCCTGGCTCCGTCCCTGCCATCCGGAACCCCAACTAGGATCATGTCCACTCAAAAAGTCGCAAATGACCACGTGCATCATCATCGGCAGCTCAAATTGATATTGTTTATAATTAATAATAATGTCACCGTTGTTTATTTGTTATGGTATTCAATCTAAAAGGTTGCAAAAATTTTAGGGAGTTGGCATATGGAACAACTTAGCATCAATGCGGCCACTCATTTTGCGTGCACCAAGAATTGTTATAATTACTCACTTACAAGCCGTACAATAGGGATTGATGAGTAGGTTTAAATATTCATATGACTTCTTAGAGCCCATTTGATAATTCTCATTTTCAGCATATCAACTCATGAGTGTCAAGTACCTTGTGGTCTGATGACATCATTGTTGATCTCCCAAAAAGATCACAGGTTCGAGTCTCATCCCAATCAAGGATGTTGACATTAACTAGAGCAAATACTATCATAGGTTTAGATGAATATGCAAAAAAAAACTCATCAGTCAATTTATGTCAAATGTGTAACTTTTGATTTTGTGTGACATGTTGCGTAATAATTATAATAAATAAGATTAAGTTACTTTTGATTTTGTGTGACTTGTTGGCTAAAGTAATTCTCGAAGACCATGGTTACATTTTAACTATTTTCATATAATTTTTTTTTTGTTTCATGAATAAATATGTTTAAAATATATTCCGTTAGAATTCAACAATTTCAATGACTCGACATGTTCCAATGTTATCAAACGAGTGCAGTCAACTTGGAAACACCAACACCAATCATATTTATAATTTGATCCACAACTGTACAAATTATTGGTGCTAGTATTGACAAGCCAGGCATATATCACAAAAAATTATATCCATATTCGATTAGTCGATTCGTGACGCCCATCTTTCTTCTTTTCTTGTTGCAACTTTACATAAAAGACTGATGCGATTCTCTTTTATGTACGCTTAATAATGAACTATAAATTGACTGGCCAATTTTTTAGTAATACGCCAGTATTTAGATTCGACTGAAAAGTGAAAACAAGTGCACTCCTCCAAAAGGGAACTATGGCGGACCAAATTTGAAATGTTTTTTTGTTGGCTAAAACCTATCCAAATTCGGTAAACTGGACAGTCTGGACCTGGACCTGCTTCACCCAATTCCAGTTACAAATTTCCTGGTAAGCTTCCATTTTGGACGAGCACGGTGCAACCGTTTGATCCATATTCCATAACTGAACCAAACCCAGACCATGACGGCATGACCATCCATAGTCAGCTAGTCATCGTTCATTAAATAATTGTGGCACGTAACGTGCTATTTTGAATCGGATAAATAGAAACCTAAACACTCCGCAATTGGTTAATAAGTAATAATTAGACAGGAAAAAAAAGTGTATTATACCAATAGTTAGTTACACGACCAAAATTGTATTTTGTCCTTATATTTGAAAGGATAGTATACTGAGAATCAAACAAAAACTGTTGAATAGCTCGACATTAAAATAAAAAAACATGGGTGACGCTTCTCTCTACTAGAGTATGTAAAACATAAAAGGATAAATGAAAAGGATCACCATAAGGTCAAGCAGCTGTTACTGTTTAGGGACGTGCCTAACATACAAACCACTATGGATTCAAAGAGAACAATAAATTACAATAAATTAAAATGTGCGTAGCTCTTTCCGTGTGTGTGTGTGTGTGTATATTTGAACTTGTCAAAACTACTCAGTAATTGGTGGTGAAGATGCTGAAGTATTGTTCTCCACTGCAGAACTTTTGGGAGTGTTGATATATGAACGAGCCACATCTAGAATTAACTCCACTTCCTTTTTATACTGGAAAAGTGAAAAGAGCAAGGGAACAAAATGGATATATCTTCATAATAATTGAATAGTACTTCAATAATAGGGGGAAAACAGATATGCAGGTACCTCACTGATTGCACCAGTCTTGATTTTAGATTGCATAACACACCATTTCTTAAAATGTACACCTATTTCAAATAATAAGATCGTGGAAGAGTTACTTGCTTGTTAAATAAAAGTCACAACAAAAACATGCTTTTAACTTTATTAAAAAGGGAAAATAACTTTAAATAATACCAACTATCTTCCATGAACCAAGAATAATACTAACTTTAGAAATAACTTTTAATAATACCAACTATTTGAATATCTATCAAAAGTTATATATAGCAAATTTTCACTAAAAAATCATTTATTCAATTCATCAAAAACTAATACCAAAATATCAAATAAGTGACCGTATTTTGAAATATCAATTATTTGATGATGTTTGATGATTTGATCTTAGTATTTGATGTATTAAATGGCTGAATTTTTTATAGAAAAGTGTCTCTATTTTACTTTTGGTTCACATTGAGATAGTTGGTATTATTAAAAGTTATTTCTAAAGTATGTATTATTATTGGTTCATTGAAGATAGTTGGTATTATTTAAAGTTATTTTCCCTATTACGTAGTAAAAAATATATTGAGGTGACTGAGTGAAGGTAAAATATAATTTGATGCGGGATTGTTTTTTAGTTATGTCATTGATCATAGGAAATGGGGAACTATAAAATATACTCCCTCCGTCCCAAAAAAATCTTCCCACTTTACTTTTTGGGTTGTCTCAAAAAATTCTTCTCATTTCCCTTTTTGGAAAGGTTTGTGTGGCTACCATTCATTTACCTTTTTCTTACTCAATTACAACCACACATTTCCAAACGGAGGGAGTATTGATTAGCATTTTGAATCAAACTGCACTGGCAAATTTATATCTGGCCTTTCTGTTTGGAGGGGGGGGGGCACCAAATGTTACGGCCACAATGGTTTGATGACTTTGATCTATGTTGTTCCAATGAGACATACTATGAAAATGAGAACTTATGAGACATTATATTTTATGGGGAGGGTTCTCATGAGAACCCCTTTTTAAAATGAGAACTTCTAATCTCATTTTAAAAAGGGCATACAATTTACGGCCACAAACAATATTGCATGTACTTGAGAACTCAAGCATCATACACAGAAAATGGGATTATTTCAAATCAAGGGCTAGAATCAACAAGGTGACATTTTTGTAATAACACGATGTTACTACAATTAAGCTCATTTTAATTTTGAATAATTACACAAAGGAGTGAAAGGACCCCATGTCCATCCCAATCAATGATTGAATAATATGAAAATTGTGATTAAAAGTTATCATTTTAAGACGACTTCTTACTAGAACCCCATGTCTAACTTATTCTTTTAATAAAACATACTTAGCCCTATTTTTAAAATTTTGTCTATGTTTTGATCCTATATTGAGCAATTCTGAAACAAACAAACCTACAAGATGCATGTACTTGAGAACTCAAGCATCATACACAGAAAATGGGATTAATTCAATAGAAAAAGGGTAGCCCAGTGCAAGAAGACATCCACGCAAGGCGAGGGTCCGGGGAAGGGTCCCACCGCAAGGGTGTATGAGGGGCAAGCCTTCCCCTATCAAATTTTGACCAGAGGCTGCTCCCAAGACTTTATCCGTGACCTTTTGGTTACACAGCAACACCTTAACCGGTGCACCAAGACTCCCCTTCAAATGGGATGAATTCGATTAAGTTGGAAAAACAAAATCTGGTCTACATAAAGTATAAGCTTTACCAGCGGTTATAACCACGGAGCAGGAGGATTCAGAAATAGTTTCCAACGACCACCTACAATGAATCTGAAGATAATGAAACACCATCAGCAATCAAGTTCAACAACCCATTTCTATATTTAATCACATAAAGGGAGTTACAGTTCAGGCGTCTAAATCGCCAATGGAAATCACCTCAGTTAAATCAAACTGCATGAGTGAGCTACAATAAATAAGGTTTGTTATAGAAAGGAACCATAAATTATCAAAGTAAATCCACTCATACCAAGGAGGCAAAGGGCTGACAAAAGGCAAATTATTTAACATAACTCTTCCAGTAGAGCAGCTATTGAATTATTGACAAATGTGAGAAGCAAGAAAGTTGTGAAGCATTTCACAATAATAAAACCCACAAAGATTCAAATGTATAATAAACATATTGAGGAATCAGAAATTCATGATGAGAACGGCATGTTTTTACAAACGGCCTATATTATATTTCCACTTTTATGGTGAATGTCTTGGTTCAAGGATATGATTGAAACTTGTTCAATTCCAGCAACAAAAAAGTAACAGTGAAGGGACTCAGGGAGAATGAAGCCACTCAGGATTCTCCATGTTTCTAGTCTTATGAGACATCCATTTTATGATACGTATCTCTCAGCCATACAGATCTTTAATCAATCATTTTTTATCTCCCAACATTTTGAGCCGTATACTAAAGTTGGTCTTATGCCTTATAAATTCCCCCTTCAGCCTTATATACGTTCACGCATGGTAGTCTAAATCGTGACCCTTTCATACGACCCTCTCTGGCCTGGGTGACCCAGGCCCTATGGAAAGTCACTGGGTTTGTTGGATTTGTTGGTATACTGGTTTAGGGTAGCAAATCCTTGTAGGTTATAAGATCAACCATTGTTGGGGTTAAGGTTAGATGTGAGCTGTGTAGACTTATCTGGTATTTGCTCACTTTGTTATCTGCTAACTTGCTGACCTACTTCACAGTATTATCCTTCTGGTGTTGTTGGATGCATTTATGGTTTTCATGCTTTTATTGATTTACCTTTACTGTCCACATATTCTTTTCACATCGTTGCTCCAAAGTTTTTATTAAAATCTTTAAAAATTGCAAGTTTTCCAACATTGTACGGAGTAAATATTATTCTTTTAACCAGAGTCTTCACTGAAACAGTTTCTCTACTGCGAGGAATAAAGGTAAGGTTTGTGTACATCTCACTCTCCCCAAACCCTACATATATTTATTTATACTCTCTCTCTTTCAACATATGTTTCTTAAAATCAATAACATAATTTCAACTTTTTTAATGTAGAAAATTTACGACAGATGAAGAAGTAAATTAAGATAGCTTAAATAAAATGTAATTTTGAGCAAAATAAAGAATAAGAAGTCCTAGCACACACCTCAAAATAGGATCCAAATGGGACATCAAGTGCCTGCTGTACAGTCTCAAACACCTGGGGTAAGAAAAACAGAAAAACTAATGATGCAAAAATGAAATTAAAAGAAAAATCACAGTATTATTGATTATTTGATTCTTCATGAATAGAATATGATGATGATTACCAGCTTTCTTTTATCAGAAGAAAGAACAGCATGCTGATATTCTGTCATGGCTGTATCTGGTGGGCACATTGGACTGTTGCAAAGAGACCTGAATTTAAGTTCTCTAACTTCACCATCATATTCGTCAGCAGAATGCCATTGACCAATCTTAATAAGAGATACAAAGCCACATGAATAGCCTTAGTATTTATATTAAGCTTACATTTCATTACTTCAAATACTCAATAATATTGTCAAGGGATAAACATAATGCAAACTTCCAGATGTTAACCGAGGAAAGTGCCTAATTTACTTCACTGAACAGGTATCAAATACATCTTATTTAAATTGTTGAAACTTACTGTGAGACTTGAATCCTTTCTTGCTGCACGATATTCTTGTGTGAAATTTGAACCATCGCTCAAAAGTATTTCAAAGTATTGCTCAGCGTTGCATGGGAAAACATCCTAACATTTTCTTCCAAAATTCATTATAACGGAAAGAACCTGTTGTTTTTGTTATTACAGAGTAAAAAAAAGGATGATAGCTATCTGTCCTAGAGGAAAAAAGAACACCGTTCTCAGTAAATAGAAGAATGGATTCGAATATAAGACATACATTATATATACCAGTAAGCACTTCCTCTTTTACAAATGGTTGGAACTTATGTGCCTTTGGCACACTTGCCTTTGGACTCTCAGCTAATTGATTACCACCCTTGATAGAGCTGCTGTGTGCACGTAGTGCTGAATGTTCCCTCTCCTGTGTAAAAAGAAGACTGAACAAATCAGAACAGTTTGTTATGGTATATAATTCACAGAAGTAGCATGCAAAGCCCATCCAAACAAAGCAACATATACATTTAAGAGTCCATCACACGTGTTGGTATCTAAACATACACACATGCGCATGCGCTCACGTGTAAAAAGAATAATCAGTATCTCTAAGTCAAACCTTCTTCTCAGCTTCTAACATTGAATGATAATCTTTTGTTGCACGCTGCAAACCCCGCAGTGCATGGTTTCTGTTCCAAAATGAAGCAAATTTATACCTTACCCTACCTGAAAATAGAACAAGTAATTGATTCATTGGGAAGGATATGAATAGCATAAAAGCAGAAACTATGATGTGCTATGCTGTAATGAACCTCCTATCAATACAATAGCTACTTCGAATAAGAAAACAACATTCTAGAAAAAAGAGGGACCAAACAAAAAGGCAAGAGATTTAAATGTCCACTCCCAGTCTCCCACTAAGAATGTGTATGTATGAGTAGCCACTCCATAATTCACTAGCAAATATGCTAACCAATACTCTCCAATGACCTAAACATCTAGAATGTAGAAACAAAAATATTTAGAAAGTAGTCAGCTTGATCAAATAAATGCAGAAATATTGGACCACAAAATCAGGGCAAATGAGACCATGGATCCGGAATACGATAACTATGACTGATCGGGTTCGTCTCCCTCCAGTAAACAAGACTGTGTTTTCTGGATATTTCTGATGGGTTGCTATCCGGATTTGGTAGGAGAAAATACAGTAACAAAGAAAAGAAGAAATGAGAAAGGAGGTGAAAATTGTAATAAGGGAAATAAATATTTAAATAAATAAATATAAAATTAAGTGTTCATTTGTTAGACTTCAACTTTTAAGGCTCCCTTAAGCATACCAGTCCGGTGCCTTGATGGGAAAAAACAAGCCTTAATATGGTGAGTTTTTTAAACACCAGCTGCAAAGTTGTAACAAGCGCTATTTTTTACTTTCCTGGTGAGAGGTGAATCTTATATCGTACTTTTGGCCTCAACTCACAGATGACCTTTACCTCATGTGAGGTGAGTTTGATGTGTTTTCTTTTGCACTTTTAAAGTTTCTAGTTTTTATATTTTAGATTTTTAACTCAATATTCTTTTCTAGTTTAGATTTTGTAAATAAACATCTTCTATAAAATAGCTTTATTCATTTCAACAACATTGCAACAGTCAGTTTATAAAACAAATATAAAATTTGCATTTTCTTTTCCTCATATTCCAGTTACTGAACTAACCACCATAATTAACTTTTTGCCGCACTGCTCTACTTACAGTTACAATAAGCAGGGCATAAGTTGTTGCGGTCAAGTTCAGTTTAAGGAGTCTGTTGTTCAGTATCAAGTTATGTAATGAAGATTTGTGTGAAGCATGGGGCATGTGATATGCGTTCATGTGCACCAGTGAGGATAGTGTGAAAGTATAGAAAGTAAAATGCTAGGTTTAGAAATCAAAGGTTAGCCAATCACGTTTAGACGATTGCTTCTACACATGTATTATGCTTTCAAAAACTTTAAGTTGCAAGTTAAGAGTTATAAGAGTAGTCTTGTTGAAGTGTTGAGCATAATACAAATATGGGAGGTGACATGTAATCCTCTGGCATCTCAAACAGTATAGAAGTATAGAACATTAGAACCTTATGATTTTAGACCATATCTTAATCAAACTCGTAGATCCATATAAGAACAAAAATCTTGTGAAAATAGAGAATATTTACCATATGTAAAAAAGAATTTGCAAACAGAGCAATGAGAATTATATACAAGTTATATCCTTTTTTAGTAAATGTCAATGGTTAAAGAAAGAACATCACGCTATTGTTGCAAAGGAATTATTTCTTGTAAGAAACTACTAACCATCTGGATTTCCTAAAGGTGGCACACCATGGCCGCCCGCTCCCACACGGAGAATAATTGTGATAGCAGGGTTAATAAATGCATGTTGACTCCTCCTAATCTGGAATGCAAAATAAAGTTGGTAAAGAGACATAACAATGCAAAAGCCATTAACATAGAAACTCATTAAGTGAATAGAAAAGATCATAACAAAATGTGAGAGGAACTACATACCTCATCTATTTCACCAAACGGGATGACTACCTGAAACCAATAAAATGCAAACACAAATTAGAATAGGTTATGTTGAAAATCCTACATTGAAAGATTAAAGTGGTATAAGTAGGTGTGGCCTTCGGTTAGATTAGCTAATAGATTGGATTCAATATTTAATATGGTTAGGCCATGAACATTAAGGTCCCCTGGAGTGACCTCGGCCGAATTATGGTTATGGTATAAAAGCAAACCAGGCCCGTGTTGCGCTGTTGCACCCCTTGAGGGAGGCAACCCAACGCCCTAGTTTCAGACTTTCAGCGGTGCACCATTTTAGGGAAGCGCTGTCAGGCCGAGGCCATTTGGGGCCCTTTCCGGTGGAATTTTTTGAGCATGTTCCTCATCAAGTCTAATTTATCCAATATCCATACCAAATTTCAGCTAAATATGAAATTGGGAAGACAGTCAAAAAAATTCCATAAGGCCAAACTAGACTGGACAACTTAAGGGTGAATAAATGAGCCCAAAAAACTCCAAACAAACTACCCTAAATTATGGGTGTCAAACAAACAATTTAAACAACAATCATGTCTGGATCTGATGCCACATTAAGATATGGTGTTTCATCCTCTAAGGTTAACATGACAAGAGAGAGGAGTAACTAATGATTTTTTATAGTAGTTTAATATTTTATGTTTAGAAAAAGGGTCAAATAAGCCCTTGTATTATTTCCAAAACATCACTTAAACCCATGTACAAAAAAAGTATCATCTTATTACGCTTACTTTCAAAACTTAATCAATTTGGCCATTTGTTCAGTTTTTGACTTGTTATAGCAGGTTATTTATAATAAAAAAATTCTAAAAAAAATGTGAAGTTTGAAGAACTATACAAAGAAATTGTGAAAAAAATCAGAATGACAGTCAATATTTTTTTGCTTTTTGAAATTATTTGCAAATTCTAAATCTATTTGAAAGGTTTTTAAATTTAATATTTTATATTTTTACATTTCACTTTTTTATTTTCAGTTTTCTGATTTTTATTTGTTTAATTTAATGTTTTTAAATTATTTATCTATTTTTAGCAATAGTCATAATATTTATTTATTTTTAAATAACCTGTTATAACAAGTTAAAATGGCTTGATTGATTGTATTTAAAAAGTAAATGTACTTATATGATGTTTTTTAGTAGAAGGGCTTAAGTTAAGTAGAAGGGTCTATTTGACCCTTTTCCCTTTATGTTTCGCCAATATGGCACAATATCTTCAACATCCCCCCATGACCACACATTTGTCTATATCTCACGATTATTGTTTGTTTTTAATTTTCTTACATCGATTTCACCAATGTTGTTTCATCATAATCGTCGAAATTTTTCATTCTTCTGTTGGGGCCCACACAATGATGGGTTAGCGCTAATACCATATTAAGACTTGATATTTTATACTCCCCCCGTCGCTCAAAACTTTGCCAAGTTTGACTTGCACGGGAAATAATGAACTAAAAACTGTGTGGGTGAGGTTTGTGGAGGAGGGAGAAATAATAGGAACCACAAATTCATTGCTTTAAAGGGAAAGTGGCAAAGTTATAGGGACAACCAAAAAAAAAAGTTATAAGGGAAGGAGGGAGGTATTAAAACCTTATACGAGTAGGCAAAACATTATATATCAATTTATTTATTTATACAAAACCAATGTGGGATAAATACTTCAAAATTTGCCCAGATATAGTAGCATTGAGTTAAACTATAATCATAAGTTAGAACAACTTATTTTGTAGGAATATATATTTTTAAGGAAAATACTTTGCACGAAAAAAACTCCGCAACTTATTCTCTTGCTATCAAATGAAGCTATTATTGTTAATATTTTTTGCAAAAATGAAACCATAACTTTAAACAATAAGGAAAGGTGATAACCTTCATTTGCTTTGAGAATACATTTGAGTGGAAGCAGATGTGCCATGAGGAGACATACATGCGCCCGTGATACAAAAAAGACCTCTCAAGTGCACAGGAGTAACTATGTTTAACAACCTGGAATGTCCTTTGTGTTAGATGAGCAACTTGATGGCAGAAAACATTGATAATTCTAAGTAGGTACTTCGCTGAAGTTATAACAAAGAAGAAGATAAATATATTCAAGAGCAAGAACATACCTCATATGCAGGGAGTTCAAATATTGTTTGCAATGGTCCTGGCTTCTGGTGAACTACAGTTGGCCCCTCATTTTCCAAATTAATTCTCTTCCGAGTATGAGCATCACCAAAGTCCTTCAAACCTCTAGAAAATCAAAAGACAACTAATCATCCAGTTGTTTATATGTTTATACTTTCTAAACACATTTCACATGTTACGTTAAACCCATTGTTGATTCTACTTCAATCTACAAAATCCAGCATTAGATGCCAACTGAAACCAATAAGTATCAATTGCATTTGCTAATAGAGACTACAACTTTTCAATTGCACATCAGTTATTTTCCTTAGTTTTTCCATTCATAAGGAGTCTTCCTATGACCTTCATCATAAGAAACTTAAACCATTATAGAGAATAACCTAAACATAGAACTTCTTAGTTCTGAGACCATACACTATAACAAGCAAAAAACATATAGATGCTGCTAAAAAGAAGTTCTTATAGATGCCGCAATCTAAACGATAAAAAACAAGCTGTTTCAATAGCATCTGAATAAAGAATAGGCTGGAGCAATTGTGTTACCTAAAAGAATTTACATTGGATCTTATAGTCTCGATATGAAGACACACCTGAAAAACAAATAAGCCATGACTCAAGTACTATAAAATGAAATATTGACATCTCAACTGAAGACAAAAAGAACTACTTCAATCTAAGTTGCATGGATACAGGTAAGGTGCCCCGTGAATATGGATACATGGTATGAAAGTTTTGAAAAAATGGGGTATAGGAATGGCAGTATAAATATATATACAATATAAAGTTTAAAAGACTAAAAGCTAAACTTGTTACGATGACTTAGAAAGCACACAAACTTTAGTACTTAAAAAGCCAAAATTGCTGTATATATAGACAAAGCAAAACTCAAGAATTCATGATGAACCAAAAACTAAAAGAAAGTCAATTACTGGGTCACCACGGAGACTTCTGACGGGAAATAAAGTTGTATGTTCATTGAAGCAGAGTTGCACTAAAGGGGATTGTACTAAACAAAATGAAAGAAACAGAGAAAGGATATTGAAGAAGAAAAAACATTAAAATACAAATAGAGAAAAACCTTCAGAACTATGTTGTTTAACTAAATCCTGAGCAAAAGCCATAACCATCTGTATCCAAGACATACCCAACCGAAACAAATCGTTCAGGCACCATAACCATGTTTTACACAAGCATACCCAGTACCCAGATGTACCCAAAGTTTTCCCGTACTCCAAAACGCTTTTACCAAAGCGGAACACCCATGCATCATAGATTTGAATGCAATAAGCAAAAGTAACATAAAGTTACCTGCCCCGATGGACTATCCAATGGATGCCAAATGGCTCCAGTGGGGCCTTCATTTTCAACTAGAACAGTCACTGAGCCAAGAACTGCACTTTTCCAGATTATATCCCAGTCATGTATTGTAACATTGATCTGCATTGAATTCAATAAAGATTTATAATAACACATAATGCGAACACTGCACAAAGAAATGATTACTGAAAGAAAAGAAAATATATATGTTATATTTCTCCATGTGGATGGGTGTACTGTTGGTCCAGGATAGGATACATGTAGGCTAAGAAGCTAGTAGAACCTTTGTAGAAAGGCCCAACTGCCCAAGTTATGGAACACAGGAAAAAGAAAGATTGTTTAGCTTTGTATGCAGCGCTGCATATGGGTTTCAATAATGACCGTTAGGACCTATTTATACTAACAAGAAATTATTAGTCTATTACAATCTGCCTACATAGCCAAGGTAGAAAATCTGCCCACTACTAAGAACAGCACATATAGGAGGCTTACGGCCTGTTTGGATGAAGTGTTGACAGGTGTTAGTAACGGGAGTGTTAGTAAGTGTTGACAAGGCCCGGAGTGGAAGGGAAGTGTAAGCGTAAAATATAAATCTACCTTGTTTGGGAGAGTTAAAAAAATGAAGTGTTAATAACGGAAGTGTTTTCATTTAAATTGACAATAACGCCCTTATTTAAATCCTAAAAGCAATAAAAATTCTAAGCTCTCGAAATACTCCTGCACACATATACATCATATACGAAGATCAGTTGATAACATGAATCTCCAATTCCTTCAAATGAATCTGCCACTTCCCAAATGGGTACATGAAACCAATTTCGTATTTCTATCAAGTTTATTCCTATACCCACTTCGTGAATTTATCACCCAGGCACACCCCTTCCATAGGTGCGTTGAATTGAACTGACAGAGTTAGCAAACTTCATCGTTTAATTGGGAACTTGTTGAAATCAGGTAGGGAAACCATAAGCCAAGGCAACTAATTATACGAAATCAGGACAATCCAACTAAATTAAACAAGAACTACTGTAGCCGGAGTGAGTAATTCAGTGACGGCAAGCCTGACCACCATGGTTGTCTACATCAGAGTTGGGTTAAAGAAGAGATAAACCGGCAAGTTGAGTGTACGTCCAATCATAGAGAATGGAGGAGGTGTTGGCCAGACTAAGAAAGATGGTTCCAATTGGGATGACTGATGAGGGCTACGAATGATTAGGATTTGGTTGATGAACCATTTTCAGGGAGGGAAGAAGGTAAACGGCACTATGAGGGGTAAGATTTGGCCAGCACTCCAAAACACTCCAATTTGGGGTGTTAAAGAAATCACTTATTGAGGTGTTATGATAAGAACAGAAAAATAAAATCAACGGGGTGAACCGTTGCCTAGATAATCAACGATAAATAAATACCGTTGCCCAGAACCAAAAGGCTAAACCAACTTTTATTCCCCAAATTATTAAGAATGAAGCATACAAGGGGTATAAATAACCCTCTAGGTCTAATAAGAATAGGAATCCTAAATAAATTAATCTAGGAAACTAAATAGAACAGCAAACCTCTAGTTCTAATAGAACTCCTAATTAAATCATTCTAGGAAACTTAATAGAAATAGGAAACCTCTAATTCTAATAAGAATAGAAGTCCTAAATAAATCCTACTAGGAAACAAATTAAATTAGGAAAAAAAATAAAAGGAATAATAAATATTAATTAAACAGCCCGCAACCAGCCCACGAAGGTGGGCTCAAGCCCGTCCCGCCTTCGGTAAACCCATGGGGGCTTCTGCCCCTCTTCTTCCAAGCCCAGATTCTGCTTCATATCAATTCCATCCCCCTTCGAAAAAACCTTGTCCTCAAGGTTGAAATCCGGAAACCGGCTGACATTTGTTCCCGGTGGCTGCCCAGTATCTTTAGGAAAAATTGAGATGTACTCCTTCACAGTCCCTGTCTGCTTAACTCCAGACAGCCGTTCAAAGCAATTTCCCTTAAACCGTGAGTCAAAACGAGCCACCAATGCTTGTGTAAGCTCATCCCATGACATGGCCGGCTTTCGTGCCCGAAACGAGGTCAACCGATACAGGCCTGACCCTTCCATCACAACTACAGTGGCTGCCACCTTCTTTCCCGGCGGTGTACAACTCAGTTCGATTTGATGCTCAGCCCTAGCAACCCAACCGATCGGGTCTTCTCCGTCAAACGAGGGTGGCGTCGTGAGAAGTGTTGCACAGTCCAGTTCCGCACGTGTATGTTGCTGCCGCGTCAAGTGAAGCCATCGTCGATGAATTCTCCTCCGCCGCTGGCGGCGCGAGAGCCTTTGTGAGCGCAGTCAAGGAGGAAGTGACGCTACATGGCTGTCCGTCGCTGCTGGGCGCAAATACGGTGGGGCTGCCAACCGCGTCAGGGCTTGTTTCCGTCGTGACTGGCGGAACGAACGCCTTGGTAAGCGCTGTCAGGGATGCGGCAATCTCTGCGGCAATCTCTGCCAGACGCACGCCGTGCTCCTCTAGGGTTTGATTCATCCGAATTTGCTTGGCCACCATCTCTGACAAATGTTCACTGATAGATCTCATCATTCCGGCGGGACGGGATCCGGCAGGTCGGACCAATTGATAAGAACAGAAAAATAAAATCAACGGGGTGAACCGTTGCCTAGATAATCAACGATAAATAAATACCGTTGCCCAGAGCCAAAAGGCTAAACCAACTTTTATTCCCCAAATTATCAAGAATGAAGCATACAAGGGGTATAAATAACCCTCTAGGTCTAATAAGAATAGGAATCTTAAATAAATTAATCTAGGAAACTAAATAGAATAGGAAACCTCTAGTTCTAATCGAACTCCTAATTAAATCATTCTAGGAAACTAAATAGAAATAGGAAACCTCTAATTCTAATAAGAATAGAAGTCCTAAATAAATCCTACCAGGAAACAAATTAAATTAGGAAACAAAATAAAAGGAATAATAAATATTAATTAAACAGCCCGCAACCAGCCCACGAAGGTGAGCTCAAGCCCGTCCCGCCTTCGGTAAACCCACGGGGGCTTCTGCCCCTCTTCTTCCAAGCCCAGATTCTGCTTCATATCATGTTAGGATGGTTTCTTCTAACACTTTCAAACCATTACTAACACTCCAATTTTTTAAAAAAAAATCTCCCAAACAAGTGTTAAAACCAACACCCCTCAACACTTCCATTACTAACACCCCTCAACACTCAATCCAAACAGACCGTTATAGCCAGCCGCAGGCTAAGTCTGCCAGACCATAGTCCAACCTATGTGAAATGACCTCTATGTCTGAGCTAGGCTCAATGAGGGCAAAGCTTTGCGGTTCAAACAGGTAGCCAGCCTTTGATTGCGCTCAAACAATGAAAACTGCCCTTTGCATTGTTCATAAGGATGGGCCACCACATTGGACCACATCTATGATGATGGGCCATCACACTGGCCCGTGGATCGAACACACAATAACGTCATAATTCATAAGCCCCACCCTCCCCATGTCAGACTATGAGATCCCAAGTCGAAACTTGATCTGCAAGTTTTGCTTTGGCAGGTGTGTGTCATCGCTATGTCTTTTGGAATTGCGTGCCTTTAAATTTTAACTCACAAACACAAGCATATCAAGGCACAACCGAACAAGCATGCAAAGCACCTGCCAAAACCTAGCACACTTATATACCCCGATTCCATAAAGCCAAATTCAAACAAAGGAAACATGTGCATGACATGCACTTGAAAATAAAATGAATTAGATAAACATCAGAGAATAAAATACCTCTACAGGAAGTTCATCAACAGAAAAGTTGAACTCCTCTCCCCACATAGGATTTCTTGAACCAGGAACCATTGAACTGCAGCAATTACAAGAGTATTAATTGGGCATACACGCATACACAAGCAAATATGATACAACATTTGGAAAAGATGATAATAGTATGTATTTATTTAATAATTAATGAGCATCAAACGTGCATGAGGACAGATACCAGAGACTAATCAGACCATCGACATAATGAAACAAACATTCAGCAAGACAGAACTACAAGTCGATATGCTCATTCAAATAATATTACTCTGATACACATTTTTATTACGAGCTTACCACTTTCTTCTAATTGTAGATGCCTAACGAATCTGTAAACTGAAAAGCATCATGTCAAGAGGAAATTTTAAATTAAGATAGCCATAGTTCTCTAAAAATGTCAATCCTTAAGCTTGAAAATGAGAAATATATAAAAGAGCACCATGCTAGTTTACCAGAGCAGGTCAATTACTTGCACTAGCATATCTTCAACTAATCATTGGCTCATTGCCCTTAGAGTAATGTGCCATTCATAGATTAAAATTTTATTACTACAGCTCATTGAAATTCCAAACCCAGAAATACTAGGTGCATGTTTGGTAGGCATAAGTCATTGACTTCTAGCTTTTATATTATTTAAAAAGTCTAAAGGCTCTTCATTGTGTGTTCGGTATAACATTTCTAGCAGTTGTTTAAAAATTTAAAATCTTTTTTGAAAAGCTACTTTGAGCAGCTGCTGAAAGAAAGTCTATTGCTCTTAGCATTAATTAGTCACAAAAGCTTGATATACCAAACTTGAATACATTAAACAGTCAGCTTTTATCAAACAGCTACAATATTTTCCTTTTAGGAACTTTTCGGTTAATACAAGCTAACACTTACTAAAAGGTTCAAAAAATATCTTTCCAAGTTGGTGGTGCAATGACGAAGGCAGAGGGTCGACAGTGACTTTACGGTACAGGCCTGCGGTTACAGTTGCCATGTGGATACGTGGGATGACCAACTTGATTTTCACAGTTCACATGAATTGACATGGGCTCTTTCTTGAGCAGATTGCAGAAGATGACAGCAGTTGGTCCGGGAAGCAAATCAAACTCTTTTTTAGCAAAAAAAAAAAGAAAGAAAGGGAAGGGGTAGAGACAAATATGAAAAGGGTTGCAAAGAAACGGCTATGATACCAAATTATGAACATAATTGGGATATGACACTCATTCATGACAGACACCACTGGAGAAGAATATTGTCCATGACAGAAACTTGAATTAACTTGATTAGAACTCATTATTTCTCTTAACTGTAAATAACACCCCAGTTATATAATGAGAGTATAAAGAGTCCCAAATAAATACAATAACAAAGTCCAAGAGTCCTGATAACCAAGAATAATTATTCGAGTGAATAAATATCTAAGAACATTAAACAATATACTAACTTAACTAATAATAATAAAGAATCCTAATCAATTTCAAACTCGGGCTCTTTTCTCTTCGTGTGCTAGTCCTTAGCATGTATCACATACTAGATCTTGATATAACCCAATCGACACACATAGAAGCAAGCATTTCATATTCTTCATAGTTTTAATTCTACCTGAAACGCTTTTGTGTGCCACAAGAAATGATTGCATATGGATCTGACGTGCCATTCAGATTAGCAGCAACAAGATTCTTAGCTGCTAGCAGTTCAACCTTAATGCATAGCAACGAAAGTAGAAAAAAATGAGCTGCTACCTTATTACATTACCTTGGTATATGAATTCATAAATGAAAGAAACATGCATCATTTAAATGATTAAAGGCATTAAAGTATTAGCATAGTTGAAATGGTACCTTAACAATGAATACGGAAGTACCTTGGAAACCATCTTTCAACTGGCTGATCTACAAAATAAGTGCAGGACTGCACGTCAAACAAGTGGAAATTACTTTGTGTAAAGTTGGTAAAGAAGCATTATAATTAATTATATTGTGATACGAAGTGGAATCCGTAGCATCATGGTAATTAATTCAAAACATTATTGAGAGTTCTTGAAGATTTGGTTAAGCTTCCCTAACGCCAGAAATTCATTTGGGGAACAATAAATTAGTACTTCTCGATATCCTTGTTTTCTGCCAAAAAAACTCCTTAGATAGAAGTTATTTACAAGACTTCCGAAACCATAAACTAGGCAACTAAATAAAAAATAATTAAGGTAAACTAATCATCATCATCACTACTCCAGTGCCGCAAAGGATCCCACCTACGGTGGGGTAAGGGGGGTCGGATGTAAATAGTCTTACCCTGTACTAAAGCAGGGAGAGACTGTTTCCAGATGACCCATAGTGAAATTCGCGTCGAAAATTGCATGGACTAACTGTTGCTTTATAAAAATGAAGTGTGTAGAGTTTAGTGAGTCATTTTGCTTTATTCAATCATATTCCCAAGCCAAAAAATAGTACTAGTAAGTCTTTGGCACCATTTTAAATGATGGAAATAAGATAAACTAATCAATATCTTAAAAACTTCCAAAGTATAAACTAGGTGGTTAAATAACCAATAACTAAGTAAGGTAAAGTAATTAATAACTACAATCTCATACCTTAATTATTACATTACATGTTCAATAAGAAAAGATAGTAAATAATTGAAGTAGTATACCTTAATTACATTACACGTTCAATAAGGAAATATTACCCTCATGCTTGAAAACGAGAACGTGAAGGCGGTAGCGTCTATCTATGTACTCCTTAAAAGTTTGTTGGATGATTGCATATAATTTAAGGGGGTGTATTGAATAAAGTGCAAGAAAGCATAGGTATATGGAATACCAAATTACAATAAAGGTCACACTTATCCAGAACAGTTCAAATTTGGAACTTTAATAATGGTGGTGGTCAGACTCTTTCCTGGGACCTTTACTAATGAAAGCATCAAAGCACAAAACAAATCAGAATCCTCTATAATAACTCTAAGAGTAAACGGCTGACTTAGTAACTATGCATGAATCCATTATTGGTGATGTAGTTTTTACTCATATCATATCATGTACTCTGTAACTAATAAGTTTGACCATAATCAGTACTTTTTCACCACAATACCGGCAGAAAATGTCACTGGATTCTGGTGTGCTTTCCTACGGATATCCGACTCACTAAACTTCATCAACTTTCATTTTCTATTTGTCCCAAAAACTTTGACACTTTAACTAAAAGAAAATGATTTGTGGGTATGATTCCTCTCTCTCTCCTCTCTATAAGTCTCAACCAACTAATTTTTACTTTTCTTATTTCATAGCTAATACAAACTTGTCCATGTATAGTGGGACGGAAGTAATATAAATTATAGGACAACTGGACAAGTGAGTGAAATTATAGGACTGACCAAGTCATAGACATAAGTTCCAAGTGCTAAATAGTAGAATTTCTCTACCAGTAGGGTAGAAAATCACTAGGGATGTGGAGTTACTGCATGATGGTGTAGTTTGATTTGCAGTAACTCCGAGGTGCTGAAGACGATCGGCAATGATCGAATTATTAAGAAGTTAAAGCGTGACCGCCATTTCACCGATCAAATTGTTTAACAAAAAAAGATATGCAAACAAAACCGACGTCGCTGGTGGAATTGTAAGTACGTAACCCAACTATGCAATTAAAAACCCACTTTGTCGCCACCGTATAAACAAAAAACGGTCAAAATGAGAACTCAAACCGAATTCAAAACTGACCTTATCTCTATCTTCACCTGCGCTGGAAAAGTCGCCGGCGGAGCCGCGATCGTCAAAGCCGGCGTTTCCGCCGAGAGTGAAAAACCAGTACGTGAAGATGAAGAAGGCCGCAGCGAAAACGGTGACCTGCACCTCCCACCACGACGGAACCAGGCATTCCAACAAATGCGCCTCCGTCACCATCTCCGCCGTCCCAGAAACCACGTGCGTGATTGCGGCCCGCAACAACTTAGCAATTAGCGACGAGTCAACGTGGAGGAAAAGGACTAATGTATCAGATTATCGAGATTAGAATTAAAGTAACGGATGAACATTCTTCAATCGGTTGCATACGTAAATATACCATACTCCGCGTGATTTGAATTGTTTTATTACAGTTATAGTATTAGTGTAGTGCGTGAGGGAGAGGCGGTCGGTCAAAGAAGGAGGATGAATTGAATGGGCCGTCGTTGAAGGTTCGGACTGGAAAATGGAATTAATGACGGATTGCACCCTGGCACCTGGGTGTTCTTTTCTAGGGTCAAACTAGAGTGGGCTGTGGGCATATTGTGGGTTCACCTAACTGAGCGGCTGAACCCTGCCAGGCGGCCACTCCTCATTGAAATTAAGTCATACGAGTATGTAATTCTTTCAACAAAAAGTACCAAATAACAGAGTTGTTCTTTCAAATTACATCAAAAATGGAATCAAATTGAACCAAATCAAAAATTCAAGAAAACTTTTATATATTTAAAACAACAAATTCAAACAGAGATCAAACTAAAACATAATTAATGGGTATTAAACTATTATTATTGTATTAGAACCCGTTAAAGAAAAATTCAAGAGAGAAGTTAGGATGAAGCAAATCTAGATTGAGAAAGTGGTCTAATAAATTGCAAGAATTTCGAGGGAAAGATGACTACTTGTAGACAAAATAAAAGGATTGGCCCTCAAACCCCAAATGCTAAGCTAGTGGGGAGCCACATGTGTCCCAAAAATACTTTGGGGAGCACGTTTGTTGATGTTATACTGATGTTTAGTGATGGCAATGGGGCAGGTTTGGGGTGGGGTACACTCCCTCATCCCCGCCCCATGTCTAAAAAGTTTCCCCCATCCCCGTCCCATCCCCCGTTACTCCCAGACCCGCCCCATCCCCGCCCCATCCCGTTGTCCCTCACGGGTGCCCCCATATAGATTTAATTTATCGTATTTGCATATATTTTTAATCTCTTATTATAAATATATGTAGTGTGATTCCAACGAGAACGATGCTTAACGTGGGAACAATCACATTTAATCCAATGTGATACACAATAGAGCCATTCTAGTGCACATTTGGACTTTGCTCAATACAAGCTAATATATATAATCACGGTGGCACTTTTGTAAATATTATGCTAGATACGAAAAAAGTGCATTGCGCGAGCCCATTGTGCTTCACATTGGGGGTAAATGTGGTGTTCGCACATTCTCACATTAAATGTTGTTCTCATTTGATCCTAAACCTATGTATATCTACGCGCACACAATCATATATGATACACACACACACACACGCAACACTGAAGTATTGTGTTTGTTAAAAGTTAATACCGCCAATTTTAATAATTCTTCAATTTGAATAAGTTTTGTGAATTGAAGACAATTAAAGTAAAAATATAAGTAAACATATTATCACCATGTACATTGTTTTAAAATTCTCAACAATTACAATACAATTAATTACATATTATAGTACATATAAATGTGTGTGTATTTATTTACTCACTTTCCCACTCTTAAAACTCATATAACATTTATGATAAATACTTTTAATCATTATTAGCTTATTACTCCATATTATTCTAGTATAATATGTGTATTAATTCATTAAACATGATTAAACCGTATACAATTATGTATGTCTATATGTATATGAGTTTGTTATATACTACATATAATTTAATTTAACATGTGTGTACATTATATATATATATATATATATATTTATATATATATATATATATATATATATATATATTTATATATATATATACATATATATGTATAAGTGTATATATATGTTTGAGTATATATTTATAACGGGGACGGGGCGGGGACGGGGCGGGTGTAGCAATACTCGTCTCCCGCCCCATATTTTAACGGCGTAAAATTATATCACCCATCCATGTCCCCGCCCCGCCCCAAGCCCACCCCATCCTTCCCCCGCGGGGCGGTTCCCCATGGGTCCCTGCCCCCATTGCCATCCTTACTAATGTTGTGTGATATCGGCATGAAAATATAGGGATGATGTCACTGATGGTCTAAGCCCTTTCAAAAATTGCGCTTATGACATTAGTGAAGGCGACAATAACATAAGCCATGGAAATGCGTGTATCTATAATGTTCGGGGAATGAGTCTGTAAAAAATTGTAACCGAATCAAGGCAAGCAGACTCGCTCGGCCTCATCTGGTAGTTTCGGTCTAGGATCCATGTGGCAGTCAGTCATTGGGCTTGGGCTCATTGGGATAGCTCAGACCGGAGTGGAATGAGCCTGCCAGAGTGGAGTTGGGCTTATGATGATATCTCGGTCTCAGGGCAGGGACTAGGCCTACTGGGTAAATGAATTGGGTTGATATCTTAGGCTTTCTTGTTTGGGGCCTTGAGGTCTATGTTAAAAAAACCCGACACAGACCGGCTAGATCGACCCAGAAATTGGTGACCTGGGCCAAAACTAGATCGAGCAATTAAAAATTCGGAAAAAAAAAAGGTCAATCCGAAAAACCCCGGCTCGGACCCGAACAATCCGGTGTAACCCAGTTTCGGAGGTTATTTAAAAAAATGTTGTTTCAAAGCATTTTTTCAAACCAATTAAATTGCAACTTTAATACCCCAATGGGGGAAATATGTAACATATTTATATATTTATTTACGAAATAAAATTATGTCAAATTATATTAAAATGTACAAATACAAATAACAAATAACATTATTTATTCTAATAAAACAAAAATTATATTTTGAAATATTATGAGAGTATTTTAAATTCTTACCAAGTATTATCATTAATTGATTATTATGAACAATAACTACTATGTACTTTCTAATTTAATGTTACACTTTCCCTGTCCATTTTAGATGTCTTACTTTTCTTTTTGGGTTAACCCAAAACAAGTGTCAAATATCTTTTTTGGAAAAAATATGTGGTTACGACATTTTACTTTATTATACTTAATACGCAACCACAATTTTTACTTCTTCAATCATTTTACTAATGATTGCATCAAACCGAAACAAGACATATTGTTGAGTTTAATCCAACACGATATAGTAAATATATGTATAAATGTGTATGAACAAACTATTTTTACGTGGAAACCCGAAAGGGAGAAAACCACGGGACTTTTTAGGCTAATGTCCAAGCCCTCTCATTCTCATTAGGCTCTCCTCACCATTACATTATACATTTTGAGCTCCCATTAATGGAGTCTTGTAAGCTATTCTAGAGGAAGAAGGAAGAAGGAAAAGGATCCATAATATGGAGGGAAGACCTCCTATAAATAGGGAAAGGGGTGAGGGAAGTACTCCACCCTAATGGGCCAAACGGGCCGATGTCGGGCCTAATGGCCAAAGTGGGCCAAAATGGGCCAAAATGGACGTAGCTGCTCGGGCTCCGTACTGGATAATGTCTTGGGCTCCTGAACAGTAATAGGCCGGGATAATATATCCCAACACAAGTCCCCCAGTTTCTTGAGTAGTGAGCGTGCGAATCTGCTCGAGAAAATATATTCTTGCCTGCGCTCTTCCTCTGTCTTGCTGGAAACTGTGTCTTCACATAATCATAATATATGAGTGAGTGTCTGCACTCCTGAACGTAATCTACCAGTGAGGCACCCCCCTTCCCGACAGGGTCGGGCGAAGGGTGCTCCTCCACGGGCACACTCCGCCTGAATGCATCAGGCGGGAGTAAAGCACTCTGACTCGAGCTTTCCAATCAGAGAAGCTTAGAGGTCCATGCATCTATAAACCGACGTCGCGGTACTGTCAAAACATGATGCACGTGTGTATGTATGAATGTATGAGGTATGATGCATGAATGCATGAATGCATGTAATGTATGGGTGCAATGTATGAGAGAAGGAATGTGAGATGTGATAGAAAGTGGTGGCTCTCATTGATAACCCGGGCATGTCAGCGCCGAGAGGCAGACGTGCTGCATAAGATGGTCGTCGCCATCCTAGAAGGGATGGGCAATCCGGAGATGAACCCGACACAATGGCACGGCGGGGCCGATTGTGCTGCATAAGAGACGTTCGTCGCCATCCTGGAAGGGATGGGCGAGCCGAACATGAGCCAGACACGATGGTGCTGAGAGGCCGATCGTGCTGCATAAAGACGTTCGTCGCCATCCTGGAAGGGGATGGGCGAGCCAAACCGTGAATCTGGACACGATGGCGCTGAGGGGCCGATCGTGATGCATCAGACGCTCGTCGCCACCCTGGAAGGGATGGACGAGCCGAACGTGAGCTGGGTACGATGGCGCTGAGGGGCCGATCGTACTGCATAAGACGGTCGTCGCCATCCTGGAGGGAATGGGCGAGCCGAACCGTGAGTCTGGACACGATGGCGCTGAGGGGGCCGATCGTGCTGCATAAGACGTTCGTCGCCATCCTGGAGGGGATGGACGAGCCGAACCGTGAATCGGGCACGATGGCACTGAGGGGCCGATCGTACTGAATAAGACGGTCGTCGCCATCCTGGAGGGAATGGGCGAGCCGAACCGTGAAACTGGACACGATGTCGCTGAGGGGCCGATCGTGATGCATAAGACGTTCGTCGCCATCCTGGAGGGAATGGACGAGCTGAACGTGAGTCGGGCACGATGGCGCTGAGGGGCCGATCGTACTGCATAAGACGGTCGTCGCCATCCTGGAGGGAATGGGCGAGCCGAACCGTGAATCTGGACACGATGGCGCTGAGGGGCCGATCGTGATGCATAAGACGTTCGTCTCCATCCTGGAGGGAATGGACGAGGTGAACGTGAGTCGGGCACGATGGCGCTGAGGGGCCGATCGTACTGCATAAGACGGTCGTCACCATCCTGGAGGGAATGGGCGAGCCGAACCGTGAATCTGGACACGATGGCGCTGAGGGGCCGATCATGATGCATAAGACGTTCGTCGCCATCCTGGAGGGAATGGACGAGCAGAACGTGAGTCGGGCACGATGGCGCTGAGGGGCCGATCGTACTGCATAAGACGGTCGTCGCCATCCTGGAGGAAATGGGCGAGCCGAACCGTGAATCTAGACACGATGGCGCTGAGGGGCCGATCGTACTGCATAAGACGTTCATCGCCATCCTGGAGGGAATGGACGAACTGAACGTGAGTCGGGCACGATGGCGCTGAGGGGCCGATCGTACTGCATAAGACGGTCGTCGCCATCCTGGAGGGAATGGGCGAGCCGAACCGTGAATCTGGACACGATGGCGCTGAGGGGCCGATCGTGATGCATAAAAATAGTGATGATCATCTCATGGCCCTCGGCCTGTCGGTGAGTGGTAATCGTCTCACGGCCCGCTAAGCGGTGTACACTCGGTACGCAACAGACTCCGGTGGAGAACTGGTCCTTCGTGTCTGATCCATGGAGCTGGTCTTCGTTCGTCTACCGTATCCGTGGTCCTATGTATGGACCGCTAAGCGGTGTACACTCGGCACGCAACAGACTCCGGTAAAGAACTGGTTCTTCGTTCTTCCCAAGTCTCGTGAGTACTGGTCTCCTGGTTTCGCAGGAGACGTTCGTCATCCCAACTATGAGAAGAAACAGGTTTATCCACGTCGGGATTCCCTACTCTTCGTTCGTCTACCGTATCCATGGTCCTATGTA